GGCGGCCGAGCGAGCAGGCGCTGCCGCATGCGAGCCGGAATCAGCCCGCGACGCCGCGAGTAAGTTATGCGCTGCGGCCTGGAGCTGGCGCGATTGAATATATAAAACCCTCATATTTGTTAACGTTATTACATCCATTTGTGTTGATATGACAGCAAACACATGCTAAGAAGTTCGGGGGGCGTAGTTGATTTTACATAAAGCGTTTGGTTGGAAGCTCGACTCTGCTCATTTTCGCGGCTCCTCCTCTGGCTCCATCAGACAGTCCTTCTGCGCATGTCTGGCTCCAATTTCAGCAGTCTTTTGCGACAGTTTGTGCCCGTCAAGCAGAAGTTTTGCCCTCAAGGCGTTCAATGGGAAAAAGGGCTGTCGCGTCGTCCATATTTTTTACAGTCATTGATTAATACATGTTCTACAGTTTCCTGGTTGTTACATTCACACATCCCATCTGCATGTTTGTTGATCAAATGTAATGTGCTATTGAGTGATGTGTGACTAAATCTCATTCTTGAGAACTTGTCTTCTTCCTGTTTGTTTTTCCTTGTTTCCCTACCTTTCCCAACTATGTTCTGTATGGTGTAATATTGACGTCATGTACTCTCATTATTCTACTGAACTACAGTAGCTGCGCAAGGACAAACTAAAGAAAACGCCTGCATGATGTAACCACTAGGGGGCACCAAACCATCAATAATGGATGTAGTCCTAATTCCATGTCATTCATCAGAATGAATTGATTATTCTCTATTACAGCACCACTGATACACTTTAACATGTCAAGCAGGATCAGGAGAGCAGCTCATGTAAACACCGTAATCATATTATTATCTTATTCAGATTAAGTTTGATTATTGATGTGCATGTAAACGTAGCCGGTGTTGATTTTGACTTGTGCTCCTGCACAATTGAACTCCTTCAATAACCTTCAGAATGATTCAGATCCGCAGTCGACGGTGAGTCACAGTCATGTCCAGGTGAGCTAATCTCGAGAAGGATACACAGAAATAGAGGCTGACAGACAGAAGCAGGCGATAACAGAAGGTCACGGGATGACGGATGAAGCGGCCGATGGCAGATTTGACAGAAAACACTGATCATTGTGTGCAGATCCCGAGCGTTGTCTGGTTTTGGAGATGTTTGCGCGCAGGTCTGCGGCTCTGTGATGTATTTTTGTAAGTTATCACAGACATGTTCCTGTGCTGGCAGGAAGAGAGCGAGGGCCGCAAACAGGACGAACTGGAATGTGCTTCCTGCTGGCCAATGGAGCTGGACAGGGCAGATTTCTGGACCATCGCTGACACACACACACACACACACACACACACACACACACACACACACACACACATATATATATATATATATATATATATATATATATATATATATATATATATATATATATATATATATATATATATATATATATATGTGTGTGTGTATGTATGTATGTATGTATATATATGTGTATATGTGTATATATATATATATATATATATATATATATATATATATATATATATATATATATATATATATATATATATATGAAAGTTTTTAATTGAATCTGCTTAAGAAAGTATACACATATTAAATATTAATAACCCCAAATTCACCACATGACAACTCTAAACTGAGTGTGCCTCACACAGGTGAGTGGGCTTGACAAACCACCTGTAGAAAACACACTATTTTCCATCAGTTTTGCACATTTGATACATTCTCACCATTAGCACCAAAAAACACTGCATTTATAAAGTGTGCTTTAAACAGGTTAGTGGGCTTGACAAACCACCTGTATAAAATAAACACTATTTTCTATCAGTTTTGCACATTTGATACATTCTTACCATTAGCACCAAAAAACACTGCATTTATAAAGTCTGCTTTAAACAGGTGAGTGGGCTTGACAAACCACCTGTAGAAACACTCCTCACTCTCTCTATGAAAACCACTCACCCTTACTCTAGCACACAGTTCTCTGAGGACTAACGGTTCCTTTCTGTTATCAGTACTTGTTTTGTGTATTGCCTCTTCATGTTGAATCACTGAATGCCTCCTCAATTGTAAGTCCCTTTAGACCAAAGCGTCTGCTAATTTGACTAAACGTAATTATTCAGTTGCATTTCGATGTATTTATTGATTAAGAGTATTTGTATCATGTTCATGAGGAAAACTTATCTAGCTTATTTATTTTACAGGTATAACATTGAGAGAATGCCGGACGATTATGGAGCACCTCGGTTTTAGTACGCAGATTTTTTTTTTTTTTTTGGTAATAAAAAGATTTACCTGTGAAATGTATTCAGTGCTCCACAATAAAGACTTTGGCTGGCCGGATGCTTGGCGGCACATATCTTCAATTGATATTAAAATGTGTGAGAAGAATCGAGAAAACCAATAACAGAGTTGAACCCAAAGGCACACCATGTGGATGATATTGTGGCAAAGAATTCAGGTCATCGACTTGTTTATAATGTACTTGTTTGAACCATTTGGTTGCCTGCCAGCTATATTGTTATCAGACAAAAGAGATTTGCTTTGTGCTACTTCAAGCTTGAGACACAGCAAACTGACATTAAAGAACTCGCATCGATCAAAACCAGCTGTGTCTGGACCAAAAAGCTGTGTGTGAACACAAATGTATGACATTCAACTGAAAATAAAATGTACATGTTGCACCTGCAATGGCTGATTTATGCTTCAAGTGCACGCGTATGGTCTGACGAGTTTCTTCGCTGGTGTTTTGTTTTTTCTGAATGCTACCTTAACGTACAAGTTACTATAACTCGCTCATTCAGAGGTGGGAACCGGCGGTTGTGCAACAACTATAATCATAAGGTAAACGCAACACAAAAGTTTCCATCTGGAGCTTCTTCACAGGACTTGACACCTGAGCTGCGTCCCAAATCGCATACTTATGCACTATTCTACGCCATTTTGTAGTATAAATAGTGTAAGTAGAGTGTTCACACTGAAAACTCAAACTATTAAGAGCACTTTAATTACCCGGATGATGCACTCATTCAGCCGCTAAAATGAAGTGTGTAATGATGGACACTTCACGCTCTCAACGACCGCAGGTTTGCTTACGTAGCGGAAGGGGCGGAGCTATCGGACGCACATGTTGAATAACTTTATTTATTTTGGATGGTGAAAGCAAAATTCTCCTACGAGAGTGATTATAGCACCTCCCGATGGTGAATGTGGTTATACTCACGGCAGGTATTATTTGATAATTCGGTCGTTTATTTCACTGATTTGGCGACCGTCAAACGTCCTCAGGGAAACGGTTTGAATTTCCGCTTAGTAAAAAAACATTAATGTGCCATTTGGGACGACACTACATACATATACTATCCTGTTGAGTGCGTAAGTACATAGTGCATAGTGTATAGTGTGCCATTTGGGACGCAGCTATATAAACACTCACAATCGGGATTGCAGCCTATCATCACCGTTACCGAGCCGATCAATCACAGAGCTTGCGCTACAGGTTATTGTGACATGCATTTTCTGAAAGGTGCACGTCAGCTACGGCAATGGCTATGCGACCACAAGAAGACTGCACCTGGACCATACACTTGGGCTTGACACAGTAGAATAAATCAGCCTTTAGGTGCACTAAACATTGTGTGTTAATTAATCGCAAATAAATGACCATTGCTACGAGAACTGAGCATGGGGTCAAGTGAGTGAAGCCTAGTTAGGACTTATGAAGATCAAGGTTATTGTATAGATGGGAACATAAATATTGAACATGTCCTTTTTTACGGCTTGAATTTTATTTCTCTGAAAGCATTAGAGAGTTTTGGATCATTGTCTTGCTGAAAATGTCCACCCTGGGTTTATCTTCATCATCCTGCTTATGTAGATGTTGGACCGAACAGCTGATATTTATTTACACTAATGAAGGGCAGAAGGTGGCTGAAGATCTACTGAGAGATTTCAGTTGCTGTCTGGGCTTTCACTGCCTTTCTACACTTCCCTTTCTTTATGTGTTCAATACTTTCCCTGCATCATTTCATAATATTACACAGAACTCATTTGTAAGCTGTTTGGTTTTGTTCGCATATATGGATTTCTTTGGTTATTACCAACATCCAGTGAACATTTCAAGTCAACAGCACTTTTAGAAATAGGAAAAAAAATAATGGTGACGTGTTTAATACTTATTTTCCCCACTGTATAAAATCATGATCAGTGATGTTTTTTTTTTTTTTTTGGTCATACTTAGTTTTTTTTTCACATTTTATGACTAAGAAATAGCTGCAAGTCATCACATGCTGTTTGTAGAATTATAACTAATAGAAGAGCTCTTATAAAAGCTAATAAGGTCTTTTATGGAACTCGGTTATAAAATAAATCGGTCAAATGCATTCTTGGTTTTAAATTTAATAGTGTTTAATTCAGAACTTTGTAAACACTGGCAGTGTTTCAGAAGTGTTCAAGTGAATACTGCAGATATGATCTTGAGATTAGTAGACTGTAGAGATTAGTACAGGGGGGCTATTTATATGGATACACCTTAATAAAATGGGAATGGTTGGTGATATTAACGTCCTGTTTGTGACGCATTAGTATGTATGAGGGGGCAAACTTTTTAAGATGGGTGGTAACTATGGTGGCCATTTAAAAGACGGCCATCTTGGATCCAACTTTTGTTTTTTCAATCGGAAGAGGGTCATTTGACACATCAAACTTATTGGGAATTTTACAAACAATGGTGTGCTTGGTTTTAACATAACTTTATTCTTTCATGAGGTATTTACAAGTTTCTGACTACTTATAAAATGTGTTGCTGCGCATTGTGTTGCTGCCCATTAAGCCACCGTATCGCCGCATCAAAAATCATTTCCAGGATATTTAAACTTTCCTTGTAAGTTTTCTAGTAATTAACACGTTAGAAATGTAGAATTAATTTAATGCACAGCCAGTTAATTTAACTCACTGTACTTGCACAATTTACATAACCATTTGGCAAATGACATGCAGCAAATATATCTAATTAACATAAGCATGCACATAGTGCATGAACACAAATATTAAAATGCTATGCTTTTCTTATGTCTTTTAAATCTCCATTCAGTCTGACTTAATTTTGAAGTCTTTTAACATCACTTTCATTAATCCCCACCAGTGAAAAATCAAGAGGTTTTAGTAAAAACTGAAAATATTCATTTGAACCTTGATTTGTTTTTGTTTTTTTTTTCAACAAAGGACGTGGTTGTATGTTTCCAGCTTATTTTCCCACAATATTTGTGTTCAACAAAAGAAAGAAACACATAAAGGTTTCTGACACAGGTCTCAAACTCAATTCCTGTAGGGCCGCCGCTCTGCACAGTTTTGCTCCAACCCTATTTAAACACAACTGATCCAAATAATCAAGGTGTTTGAGAGTAGTCTTGACCACCTTGATAAGTGGAATCAGGTGTGTTTGATTAGGGTTGGAGCAAAACTGCAGAGCTGCGGCCCTACAGAAACAGAGTTGGAGACCTATGCTTTAGAGCAGGGGTGTCCAACCTTGGTCCTGAAGGGCTGGTGTCCTGGAGAGTTTAGATCCAACTCAAATCAAACACACCTGAAACAGCTAATCAATGTCTTTTAAGATATACTTAAACAGGGGTGTCCAAACTCGGTCCTGGAGGGCCGGTTTCCTGCAGAGTTTAGCTCCAACTTGCCTCAACACATCTGCCAGGATGTTACTAGTACATCTAGTAGGAGCAGGGCTTTACATTAACTTTTTTGACCACCAGCCACTGTGGCTAGTAGTTTTCCAACATTACTGGCCACTCACCATTTTCACTAGCCAATTTTATTGTTGGGGAAATATATTTTATACACATAAATATGATTTTGACATGCTAAAATGACTTGATTTAGAGTTTGCGTTATCTCTACTTGTCTCCTCATGCATTTGACTGTTTGTGTGTCGTGTATGAGCCTGCTCAATAATCATGAGCAAATGGGTCAGGGTTTCATATATTACAATTACTTTTCATAATTTTCAGAGCCCAAAATGAAGGATTTGTCCAATTTATCTCTGACCACACCATAAATAAACAGTTAATTATTTCTTAGCCACAAATTTTAAATGTGTAAAAACATGCAAAATATAGCTGAATACTAAACTTTTTATTTAACAAAACATTTGCACAGTCATATGTCCTGACTAAAGGTCCCAGATCACCAGTTAACTACACATAAATGGGGAGTTATTCTCTCATTAAAGCAATGTTATTGTAAAAAATGATAATTAAACCATATTAATGCAAAAGAAAGCAGGTAAAAACATACTGTGTGATAATGAAAGGATGATCACACACGCATGGTTCATGATAGACCCATAAATTATCTTTTCAAAGAATGGTTAAAGTGAAAGCAACTGGGGCTGCTTACAATAAGTCAACTCTGGAGCTCTTGAAAGCAGCAAGACTGTGGGTGCATGTTCCTCCCTTTTATTCAGTCTATTTGAAAGAGAATCGATCGCATCAGTTGTGTTTCTAGACACAGTTGCTTCACAAAAGGAAACGGGAGCGCGCATCACCTCAGCTGTTTATTATCCTCTCGTTCGGTATTCACCTGCTTTGCTCGCACGAAGTTGCGAACGCAATTATTTTTGTCAGTCGTGTTGCTTCTCGATCGCCTGTGCATGCATTTTGGACGATCCTTATTGTTGAACCCTGCTTTTAAGAATTATTATCTGGGAAAATTATTTTCAACCAGCCAAAGTGGCTAGTTGGAGTATCTGTTTTACCCGCCACCGCCGAAATCTACCCGCATTTGGCGGGTTGGCGGGTGTTAATGTAAAGCCCTGAGAAGGAGTTGATTAGCTGGTTCAGGTGTGTTTGATTAGGGTTGGAACTAAACTCTCCAGGCCATCGGCCCTCCAGGAACAAGTTAGGACACCCCTGGACTAGAAGCTTCCTGGCAGGTGTATTAAAGCAAGTTAATGATGAACTCTTCAGGACACCAGCCCTCCAAGACCGAAGTTGCCCTGCTGAAAAATCCAGCTTAAACCAGACTAGGCTGGTTTAAGCTGGATTTTTCAGCAGGGTGGACACCCCTGCTTTAGAGCTAATTGAGGTTGAGTAAATTTCCATTTTTAGATGAGCTATCCTTTTAGGCTCTCTATGAAAGTGACAACAAGTGACAAAGTGGATGCAAAAGTTTACAACAATTATGCCAGCCATTTTATAAAAGAACAGTTTGAACATTTATGAATAAAATGTCCACCGTTGAAAGTAAATACGGAAAGCTACATAAAAATTACATATTTCATGAGTCACTGTGATTTAAGAACAGGAAATGAGCATTTGAGAAATGTGAAGAGAGTGTGTTTTAAGACTTCTGATAGAAACAGGTGCTGCAGTGGCAGTCTGTGTGGTTGTATAGTGGGATATTAGCGATGACGATCTACAAACAAACACACAAACAACATGTGTTATATACAACAAATGACAATAACGTCCTTAAATATCGTAACAAAAACAATCGTAATGTGGACTTTACCATTTTAAATTCTTTTGCTACACAGCAAGTGGCTTCTGATGTGATGTTTTTTGGGACATGCATGGTTTTCTTGGACCTCAGGGGTGTGGGGTATGCTCTCGAAAAGCAGCAGCCCACGCACTGATAGACCGGAGCCCCGGGTGAAATGGACGTGAAAGGTTTGTTCACCTCGAGTTTGCACTCTTCACATCCATCTTTGATCATTTTTTCAGACACATCATTTCTTGAATACAGTTGTCCGACATGAAGAATCGTTAAGAACAAGAAAATGCTTGCTTCAGCGTATCTTGTCCAAAACATGATGGCTATAATAAAAGAAGGAAAGCTCTTAACTGAACTGCTCTTATAGTTATTATCATCTTACAGTTCTTATAGTTATAAGTACATCAACATTATTATTATTCGACTCTGAATTTGCTTTTTTTATATTAAATATATTCTAAAAGCTAATCTTACCTTTTTCTCGACTTCCTGCGGAGCGTGATGAGTGTCTTCTCGGACACAAGTAAAGCTACCTTTTATACCTTGCTTATGTCTGCCCCGTGTTGGAACATATGTGTGTGTGTGTGTGTGTGATTCTTCCCTTGCTGACCTTCCAATCCAATAGGAAAATTTACAAAAATAAATATGCACTAAAGGATTATTAAATAATTGTTTTGTCTTTGAGATTGCTGATTTCATAAGTTTGATTATAAAAACACGCCTCAAGCTGGTAGAAAACCTTTGTTCGATTTTCAACCTGTTACATGATTTCAGGTCAGATGAATTCATCTGCAATTATTGTATTTCATCTGTTCTCTAAACATAGAGTATCAAGTGTCAAGGATGAACGTTAGCTTGCCTTCACTATCTCTCAATCTGTCCATCTGCGCAAATCCACAAGACCTCGCTTTGGATTATGAGCTTTCATGCGCCATGCAAATGTAACTTTATATTTTCAGTGCCAGATGGAGATGCCACATGAAGCATGAAGGATGGCAGTCAGCCTTTAATGTCATCATTTGTTTCAATTCATTCTGAATAAACAAACAATGCAGGCAGCTAGCTTTCTGCAACTCTCACATGCTCGCCCACTAAAGCTAGGCAGGGCTGCGCCTGGTCAGTACCTGGATGGGAGACCGCTTGGGGCTTGGGAACACTAGGTTGCTGCTGGAGGTGGTGTTGGTGAGACCAGCAGAGGGTGCTCATCCTGTGGTCTGTGTGGGTCCTAATGCCCCAGTATGGTAAAGGGGACTCTCTCGGTGAGCGTCGTCTTTTGGATGAGACGTTAAACCGAAGTCCTGACTCTGTGGTCGTTAAATATCCCAGGATGTCCTTCGAAAAAGAGTAGGGGCATCCTGTCCATCATGGCCTCCTAACCATGCCCATATCATAATTGCCTTCATCACTCTTGCTGTTTCTCAATTCCAAGAACATAGAGAACGGGCTTGTGTTCTTGTGGAGACCATTCTTGCCAGGTGTGCTCGGAAGAACCACGGGAGACTACGGCTGTTTCTCAATATGCGTAATTCAGCGGTCTTGCGTCCTCGTGTTCTCGTGAAACGTCATCATCAGCTGCCTAAGTTCAGTTCCAATACTCAAGTCCGCAAGTAAGGAGGACGCGTGAAACTTCCCGGATGTGTTCTTGACATCGAGGACGCACCGATGCAGACTTCAGCACCGAACTCGCTCTGGAAGTCCCAGAAGTCATTGCGACTGGAGGTGGGAAGCGCAGCATTTTATCTAGATTTATTATTAAAGTTCAGAGATATGAATTATTTACCTCAGGAGTCTCCCTAAATGAAACGGTGAAAGTAAACATTACCATGGACATCTTAATAAAGGAATAAACACATTAAGGGTGTTTGTTTGCTGAAATTCGTATTAAAATCTGTTTTATTTATATTGTGCAACATATATTTATAATGTTTTATGCAAAGTATATATTTTGAAAAGGGGAAAAACAATAAATCGTTGTATGAATGTTGTAATGTTTAAATAATTTACCATTTAAAACGCGTGAAGGTCATGTGACCATCAGGAAGAACGCAGCATCTCAATTCTCAAAGGACGCGTTCTCTGCTCTCGCGGTCTCCTGAGTTCGTTCTTCCGAGGACACCTGGCAAGACCGATCTCCACAAGAACACAAGTCCGTTCTCTGCGTTCTTGGAATTGAGAAACAGCCTACAAGAACAGAGAACGCGTCCTATGAGAAATAAGATGCTGCGTTCTTCCTGATGGTCATGTGATCTTAACACATTTTAAATGACAAATTATTTAAACATTACAGCATTTATATAAATATTGTTTTGCCCTTTTTAATTAAAATATATATATATATATATATATATATATATATATATATATATATATATATATATATATATATATATATATAAATATATATATATATATATATATATATATATATATATATACACACACACACTTCAACAAACCAAATACATTGCCTAAAGAAGGATAGTGTAAAAAATGTAATAATAAAAACAAAAATAATAGAAAAAAGTAGCTAAATTCTTCAAAAAATTAAAGAAGGAAAATAAATAAATAAATAAAATAATAATAAATACATAGATAAATAGAGTGACAGCAGTAATGGGTGATACGATGAGGGATAATGCTGTGGTATCTTGCAATGGTAGGTAAACATAGAGGAAGCTTGAGATTCTGAACAGAGAAAGAAAAGACAAAATGATGATTACAGAAAAAAGATTTGTTACATACAAGACAGTCACATTATTCCCCAGGAAGTACATTTATAGCAGAGAAATATGAAAGTAAAGGTTGCCAAACATGTGAGAATTTGCTAGAAACGCTACTTGAATATTTGTATTTTTCTAAGTGTAAATATAACATCAGATCTTGAAGCCAGAGTGATGCTTTATTTAAAGATTTTATAGAAGTGTCTTGAAAAATATTTAGTCAAATATTATTTACTGTCATCATGGCGAAGATAAAACAAATCAGTTATTAGAAATGAGTTATTAAAACTATTATGTTTAGAAATGTGTTGAAAAAATCTGCTCTCCGTTAATAAACAGAATAAACA